TAATATCACATTTATCATTTTACACAATTGTTAATATTTCATTTACTAATCTTTTATTGGCAAACTGTCCATATAAACCTATCTGTGAATTAGCTAATATTATAATCACCATGATGCAATTATATATTCTTGTCAGTCGCTATCAAACAGACCTCTTCAATAAGAGAATAAATAGGTAGACTTCAAATAAAGATACTTATGACTTGTCAGTCCTTATTAAAAACACACTGCATATTCGGGTTCTAATTTCCAGGATGGGGGCAATTCAAGGGGGAATAAATAATTGCATTATTTTGCATTTTTATGAATTTTAGTGAACATATGTTACTGTTCAGAATAAGTTCCCTTACTTGAAGTAGGGATATGAGAATTATGCAACTATTGTATTATTCATCCAAGTCCCTCCTCACTAGGATCAGATGTTTCTTTAGGAGTGTCTTGTGAGAGGAGATTTACAGAATTTGGAGATTGGTGATGAAGAGCCAACTGCATCTTTGTCAATCAATGATGAAAATTAATATGATCCTGGACATTGTTCCAAATTTAATATTATGGCTTGTGGCCGAACACATGACAAATCTGTTGAAACTAACAATTGTGAACGTCTTGTAATCTACTGTCTCCTGTATATTTATAAGTATTGTTCAAATGTATCTGATAGAGGGTTAGTTCATTGTTACAGTGGATGCATCTATTATGCAAGCTGTTCTAAACCAAAGATGTTCTGATAAAATAAAATAAAAATAATCACCTTGGTGTCTTTTTCTCCAGGCCTCTCTCTAATGCTGAACAAAACTATAAAATGGACCTATAGCACCCCAGCTTTCCCAGGAAGGGTGGAGGCAGTGGCTGGATAGGGCTAAATAACAATTTCTCACCTGTATAGATCACAGAATCCTGTGTTGAAATCGACCAAGACACTCAACTTTAGACATGTAAGTGGGGCTCTTTTCATTACTCAATTCAATTTCAGCTTGTTTTTTTACAGACCCAAAACAATTCTTGTAAAATTCTGTTACAAGAATTTTTCTAATTTCAACCTAGATGTTTCCTTGTCTTTTACTCATTAAAACAGTATTTTATGATGACAGATATCCCAAAACAACAGCTCTCATAATTTTTTTAAATCATATCATGATGCAGCCTTCCAAAATATGGGCTGTTTTTCTTTTATATCTTAAAACTCAACTCAAAAACCCTTTAAACTACACTTTCTTCAGCTAAGAGAATTTGGCCCAAAAAAACTCATCACACTTGCAACTAGAAGTGTGTGTAAATCAAAAGGCAACTGGCCGGACAAATAAATATTTCCACAGGCTCTGCTCCAGTTTCTTTCCTTATCTTCTCATATGTGGGTCAACGTCCTTACCTTTTTTTTAAAATTTTTCTTTATTTTACACTAATTCAAAAATATGTCTGAAACTAGACCGCCCACAGACACAGACCTATTTCTTAAAGTCAGACAGTCAGACACGTCATGTGAAAATTGCACAATTCAACATTTCCACTTGAGCACACAGCTGCGCTTTTGGACTAGTTACAGACACGGACAGGGAGAATGAGTTCACATCCCTGCTCAACCGGTGGAAAATACTTGCAGTTTGCATGACTGATACATTGACCATGAAACTTATGCATGGCAAAACAGTCTTTACAGACTACAGTGAATTGTTATAAGCCATGTTGGCCACCTGTGTTTTTTTTTCTAGCACAACAGGAGCAGAGAATTATAGCAAAAACACACTTGTATTGCTTTATATCAGTTTTATAAAAGAACTTGTATGGTTCTTCTGTATCTTTTATTTTCATTAGAAATTTAAAGCTTGATGAAGCATGTAAAACAAATATAGTCATGTGCCTATAAAAAAATACATTTTTTTTTAAATCATAAATACACCAAGCATCCATCCTGATAGTGTAGTCCTTTGTGAGCCTAAATAGAATTACAGCACTGGGCACGATGACCAGACAAAAGAAGTGACACAATCTGCTGGCAGTACAGAAATATCAGAAACCTGGATGGCAACAACTGACACAGCTACTAGAGCCTTACCGCCCTGCATGCCCCAGGAAAAGCAACAGCTTGGTACAATAAAAGACCAGCTGATACTATTTGAAATAAAAAAATAAAACTATACAGTAACTCTTGGTTTCGATGCATCTATCCAATCTGCCCTCGGCTTAAAGGGCAGCTGTCCTGCAGGTTTTAAAGGTTTCCTTGCTCCAGTACAGCTGATTTTAATTGAAAGCTGATTAACAGGCTTTTGCTTAACTGCTATCATCATAATCAGCTGTGCTAAAAGAGGGAAACCTCTAAAACCTGCAGGGAAGAGGCCCTCGAGGACAGACCTTGGGGATGCCTGAGCTACACCTTATGGACAAAGGACATTCTTTTGAAGACCAGCGTGTTCACATTTGGAGAAAGAAGACAGCTGGTTTGAGAGGGATGTGAAGGAAGCCATCTATGTAAAGAAAGAAAAACCAACCATAAACAGAGGGGATGGACTTAGGTTTCAGCTTTAAAAAAAAACTACAATGTTGATTCCCTCCCACTATCATTGAAACCCCCATGCCCTTACAGGGAAACAGAACACCTCGCCTGTTCAGCCAGGCCAACAATTCCCTCTAATAACCTTCAAAGAACCCAAACGACTCTTATTCCTAGGGGGCGGACCCCTTTCTCTGGTTTAATTTGAATGTTTTCCAAGCCAAAACAAAGCTTTGTTTTTGGTCGACTCTAAAAAGCCTCTAACTCAACGCTATATCTGACATTTTGAATTGAGAAAGCTTCCTGGATGGGAAGTGAAACGTCTACAAACTTGGAAACAGAGTCCAGTGGATTGTTTTTTTTTACTTTTTTGGAATGAATATGACCTGGATGACTGAGAATCTTCACCAGCATTTAAGGGGAAAGAAAATTACCATTCCTACCAAGTGCAAACGGGGACACAGCAAGTCAGAAATACTTAAATTAATTAGTTGTAGGCTTTATTTACTAATAAATTGAGCAAAGAAAATGTGTAAAACACAGAAACAACCAATAATACCACAACAGTATGGAACTTTATACGCCGCTGGGCTATGTCAAAACTGTCATATAATGTGACTATATACCTTTAAATGTGTGTTCTCAGTATCCAAATTAAAAATAAGATATTATTCATGCCTTGAGATTAAATTTTGGTTATTCTTGTTTTCACGCGGTGGCAGCACATCAAACATTTTAGTGTGACATCAGTTAGCTGTTGCAGATGAATGCAAAGAAGGTTCAAAAATCCCAAAAAAATCTCGAACCAATTCCATCCTTTTTCCATCCAGAGCAAGGTTGTTTTCTTTGGCTGTGGCTGGTCATGGTCGGTTATGGCATCTAAAGAGATCATTTCCTTTTTGAAAGAAGAGGGAAGAGCTGCACTTACACTGCTTCATGGAGAAAGTTCCATTTTGTTTCCAGTGATTTCACTCTTCAAATTTCAAAAATAATCCAACTCTTTCGACTTTATGGTAGGGCCCTTGACACTGTGTCCTTCATATTTTCTGGGAGTGTCCCCCTGTGGCCTTTGGTCCAAGGTGCATAGTTGCCTTGAAAGCATTTTAGGATTTCCCATTCCTATGCATCGTCCCCTGCTTCTATTCAGTCATGATTCCATTCTTAGTGGAAATACCAGATTGGCTAAGAGGAAAATAATTTTCACAGGACTAACTGTTGCTAAGAAGACTATAATACATTCATGGTTTTTCCTGTAAATTCATTTGGCAAAAGAATGGATAAATTACTTTAGGGAAATTGCTATTTTTGCTATTTTTAGAAAGGTCATTAGCTGTCATACACTAGCATGAACATCTACTGTGCATGCCTGGGACGCTGTTATCGGTTCTCTGGCTGACATAACCTTACTTGCCTGTATATGAGGTGTTCTTTGCGTGTGTCGTCTATAAAGATCTGCTTATTTCCTATCCTCTACCTCTCCTCTTTCAGTTTACCAGTGTACACAAAATGTATGTGTAGGAGCTTATATTTATTTATGTGTGCTTATATTTATTTATGTGGAGTCCTGTATATATGTATGCAGTTAATATTTTCTTTTTCTTTATGGGTAAGGCAATTGCAATGTTTTTGAAATATGTTTTCAAATTGTAAAATAGAAAAAAAAAATAAAAAGTCAAAAAGATATGAATAAATCTGTTTATAATATTACCAAATCCAAGGTATTTCATTAAATAATTTCATGATTCATTTAATTGTTTAACTACATTTGTCTAATTAAATCAGTAGTTTTTACTTCAAATTGAGGTTCTTAAAATGTTTTCTAGTTACATTATGTGTTACTTTGTTGCCATAGTATTTTAAGGATGTACTTATGCTTTGTAGTTACAACATAAGGAGCTTCAGTGGCCATAATATTATATTTACATATCTTTAAGTTTTTTAATCACTTGATGTACATTGTATAAATAATATTTGAAATCATTTGTTCCTATATGTATTACAGTTTAGCAGCCATTACTTAAAAGTAGTTGACAATGTTAATAAAGATTGCTACATGTGAGTGGCAGCTCATTGCGCCTTTCCTGTATAATCCAGTTTATGGCTGCAACTAAAGATCGTTTGCTAATTGACTAATCTGCTGAATATTTTTTTGTATTAACTGATTAATGATTGGATTAGAAAAGGTTTCTTATAAGAGATTTTTTTTTTTACAAAACTTGAACCAGGTGAAACTAAAACTTTGGATAGAGGTTTGGATAGAGCATACTTAAAGACAGAAAAATGTTCCATCTTAAATGCAATACTTTGATATAACTTTTTTACAATTTATTTTTTATTACAGCCATAAGTTGTTTGCCCTGTTAGCTAAAGGCATGTTTAAGTGTCTATACTAAGGTTAACCAATAATCGATTACTAAAATAGTTGACTGTTATTTCAATAATCGATTAATCAAATGAATTGTTTCAGCCCTAACCCAAGCATTACAGAAGGGAAAAATGACAATGCAAAATATTTCAATTAATTGCTTTATTTTGGAATAAATATGCAGAAGTCAAAGAAAATTACAAACGCATGTGAAAAAATACCTGTTTTTTGCACAGAGCTGAGTAAATGTATACATAGTATACAGTACAGCTCATGTAAGTCATTGTTTTCTTTTGCTGTACAACATGCAAAAGCTGGTTAAAACATAGAAGAAAGAACCTACCTTCCAGTTAATATAAAAAAACAACATCAAGCGGTTTGTGACAAGATGGATCTTATATTATTGGATGGTTTAATCTGTTGTCTTAAAAATAAGAAAATAAATTGCTGGATTATATCAAGTCTTCTGGGAGAACAAGTTAGTTCAGACTGAAGGGCGGGGAATAAAATATACTAGGATAACAACATTCCTTCTGTGTTCTTTATTTTCTCATTGACATTAAATTATTTGCGGTAACTGTTCCAGACAGGCTTGAGGTAACAGGCTTAAGGAATGACTGATGACGACAAAATGTAAAGATAAATGAAGGTCAAACAAGGGCCACAATGAAACATGCAGGAAACTGAAAGGAGGGAGGGGACTCACTCTGGTAAAGTAAACTCAGATTAAAAGCCTTTGCACACCAAATCCATATTTTTCATACAACTTCTTTGCACATTAAACAAAAATATATATCTATCATGTTAATGACATTAGTGCACTTCACAGTTTTTAAATGGTCATGAGGTTTAATTTGTATTTTTTGATTCATTTGTATCATCTATATGTTCTTTAGAGAGTTGTTTTAATGGTCAGATATCCTTTTCTAAAATGGCATCTAGCCAACAAAATCAGATAAGAAAGACAGAGAAAAGATCCAGAGAAAAATAGTTTAGGACTGAGTGCAGAAGGTAAATGACCCAAAGGTGGTTAGTGTTGCAACAGCGCCGATTAATGAGGATACAAAGATGCAGCACTATGAATTAAGTTTTTTTTCTTTTCGCAAACTTAAAACCAAGTCAAAGTTTTAGCCCTGCTTTCCTTACAAACTATAAGATGATTAACCTTGCCTGCAAGCAGAATTCTCGTAGTGTTTGTGCGTTCACAAGCACCACGAGAATCCATCTTACCGTTACAGCTTAAATTGTAGGAGACAGTTATGCGGGAAGCGGGGCATATAGCTGCAGCCAAAGCTGCAAAGTCCACAACTGGCCAAAACAAGCATGGCAGCGAAGGATGTACACATAGCTGCTGCTGCTATCGCATTTGTTTGACAGAATCCACAATTTCCATTTTGAAATTTAAACAGCAAAACCATAAAAATATAAGTTCTGGTCTCTTATGGCGGCTGCTGCTATTTCATTATTTACTGTGATTGACTAAAACCAATCTTTAGTAGGCAGGCCCTGGGTGTCGCTTTACCGCAATCAGCTCAAAAGGCTCTGCTGAACTTCCCTCCTATCCCCCAAATAGACTCTAAAACTAACTACCGTAAGCTTGGTTGCTGCACATTATTAGGTGGTTCACAAGGTTATAAGAAGGTAACCTGGTGATTTTTTCATTATTTCCATTTTCCATTATTCCTGCACTGATTGTTCATTAATTTTTCACGAGTGGAAGATTTGACCAAAACTGTGAAAGAGCAATCATGTAAAATTTTACTATTTAATAGCAAATATCTACTCAAATTAGGATTTTATGCTAACCATTAGCATTAATATAAGAGCTTTTCGTATTGTTGAGGGTGTAAATCTTTATCATACCTCCGTTTTACACAAAAGATAGCAAACATTTCCAAATCCATTGTGTCTGAACACAGTAACTCTGGTTAACACTGTTCCGCCTACATATTCGCTTTAAATCTAAATTTTTTTCTGCTCTTATGCTGCCTAAATGGGATGACAGTGGCGACGGATATAGGAGTTTGCCCTGAAATCAAAGGGTTAACGGTTCAAGCCCTGGCTCTGCCTTTCAGTGTTGTTGTGTCCTTGGACAAGAATCTTCACCCGCATTGCCAACTGATGGTGGTCCGAAGGCCTGGCGGCGCTAGTGTATGGCAGCCTTTGTTTCTGTCAGTGATATATAGTTTGTCACACATCAGTGTGTGGGTGTGTGCATGAATGGGTGAATGGCTGTATGTAGTGTAAAGTGTGTAAAGTCTCCTGACTTGACCAAAGCACAATATAAGTACAAGCCATTTACAATCTAAATAAATCCCAGGCATGTCTTGGTATGTTGTAATGAACTCCATTTCCTCTCAAATAGCATCTTAAAATGTCAGTTTGCTTTTACTTTACTTTAAAGACAACATTTATACTGAAAATATCTAGTAACAGCATCCACACCAAAAACCTGATAGGTCTTCATACGATGAATCACTAGCAGGTCCAATTTGGACCCATCATTCTCAGAATTACTGATTTGACGTCACCAGCATCTCTATTTAAAGGCATCCATTTTAAAAAATCTACTATGAAGAACATAAACTTGGTGTGCAAGTGCATTGGCCTAGAACCCTTAGTAAAGCAACAACAGAGAACTAATATCAAACTGACAAGTTATTCTAAAACGCACCAGGAAAACTTATAGTCGACATTAATCCAGCTTTATTGCTTCAGCTAACCTAAAAAGATTGTAAATGTTATTTTATGGCTAAAATATATCTGATGCTGCTTTGGTTCCACTGTTCCTGAATGTTACTGTTCTGATTAAATAACGACTGTGGGGGTAAAACTGAAAGTTTGCCAGATTTGTCTGGCATTCATTCGGCTTCACCAATGTTTGGGGATATACTGTAGTTAAGACTCTAGATCTGGACTCCTTAACTATTGTGTTCTAAAATTGATTGCAGGCTCCCAGGTCTGACCTGATTGATTAAACATGGTCCATCTGTATTAACTAGCAGTATAGAGAGCTTATGTTTCATCAGCTATGGCTGAATAATTTCTTTGAAAGCTTAGCTGATGTCACTGAACATGAGCTGCCAGCATTTATCGCTTGGCTGCAGCTCTTTCATGTTCTTGTTTTCTTCTTAGCCTCTCCTTTAATGTCTTCTAGCAGTCCATTGATGCTGGACTCAACAACTGAAACCACCACAAATGACGTAATACTAGATGGTGGATTCACTTGGTCTCCTTTGAAATAGAAGAAAAAATATTTTGTAACTTCAATTTACTGACAAGGGCTTAGGTTACAGAAGTCCAGCTCCTGAGGTTTACGAAAGCCCTTGCACAGATCCCTTGGGAGCAGAATCCCAGTGTGGTCTTTGCAGTGGAGAGGTCGTCTTTTGAAGCCCTTCCCACAGGTTCTGGAACAGGGCGACCAATGCCCAATATGCCACTCAGCGCACTGGTCTCCACAGACCCTGGTGGCAGACGGTATTTGAGAAGAATTGCAGTCTAGCCCTGGCTTCCCATCTGCTCTTAAACATTGCACCATTCTCCTCTGAAAACCCCTACCACAGGACACAGAGCACTCCCCCCAGGCTCCGGATGTCCATTTCGCCATTGGAGCATTGTTCTTGCTGTAGGAACTTTTTAGATGATCTTCCGCTTTCTCATGGATTTCATCTTTTGGCAGGACGCTGTTCTTAGAATTGGCACTCTCCTCCTTCTTTAGTGTTTTGTCCTCCTTGGTCTGACGACGGAGGTAGAAAGAGTAGCGAATGCGAGGGGGTGTTATCTTTCCTGCACAGAGCACTTCAACGGTCAACGCCTCTCCAAGGGGCTTCACTGCCTGCAGGGTCTCAGAGAGACCAGTTGTGCCACTGTAGCGCAGCAGGCTGTTATTCACAATTACATCTCTCTCACCGGCTGACACAACATAATTCCCATTGAGAAGGTAATGCCCCTTGCTGTCCTTAACTGCCAAATAGTTGTCATCACTTCTAATTCCCTTGTAGCCTCGCTGACGGATGTCCACATTGGCCGCACCCACTGGCAACATCACAACGAAGTTGTAGCCATGCCTGCATGCCAAGATATTTTACAGTCAAATATATTTCATCAAGAGTGCAGCTGATAAAGTTTTGCCTGAGTAACAGTAGAGTAAACACAGGAGTAGAGTCTTCAATGCTGGCCCTCAGGATTCACTATCCTGCATGTTTAAGATGTCTTTCTGCTCCAAAACCTTAATAAAATTGCAGATTGCACTACCTCCTAAATAGGGGCTGAAAAAAAGGCTGATAGTCACCCATTTATTAAAGTTTAGTAATGTGGAGGCAAGAAACAACTAAAAACATGCCAGGATTGAAGACCCACCCCTTCCTGAGTGAGAGAGGCTGATGTCGCTGATTTACTCACACAGGTTTGGTGAAGAGTCCGGACACCTTCTTGCAGTTCTTGTTATCGCCACCACAGATTCCACACTTATCAAACTTCTTTGTGGAGCCAATCACACCATCACATCCAGCTTTGATACACTTTCCTTGAACACAAACGCCTGTGGAGTCTGGAGAGCACGGAGTCCCATCAACAACCTGCATCACACAGAGTTCAAGGTCAAGAATCAATATATACCCCAAAATAGCTCCCAGGATAGGTTGTACCTTTTAATTTTACACAGCCCTTTGAAATGAGTTATATAGAAGGAGATCAAATGAATATTTTTAGTAGTTAAACTTATTTATCAGTTTAAAATCAAAATCAGAAAATACATTGTTGTCGAGTTGTGTTTTAGAGGTACGAGGAATTTGTTTTAGTGATAAGGTGATACACATTCACAAGTAAATGTGCAGTTGGGATTAGGACCACCATATAAAAACATATACTGAGATATATAACATTTTGTTAAAGCTAAAGCACAAACTTGCTTTAACTGCATTAGATTTAAAGTCATTTATATGTGTAAAAGAAAATATCAAATAACGTACACTGAAATTCAAATCCCTGTCAAAATTCAACACTTCTATAATACATTTACTGTATCTTTAAATATGGACCCCTTTACAAAATTATACATGATATATTTATTTATATAAATATTCATTTTAAGGATTTCTAAAATTGCAATGTGCATTTCAAATGCTGCTACTCTGTGAGAGGGGAAGGGATTTGTGCTCCTTAGGTTTAGGGAAAGTCCTTTTAGATTTTGAATTTATTATACTTCAGTTTCAAATAGAAAACACACTGAAATCCTCTGAGGTTTATTGCTAGAAGAGGAGTGCTGCCTTTGGTCTTAACTCCCCTTTAAAATTTGTAACAGTCACGCCCATGAAGATGTTTGCAGAGACTCTCTATACGTTATAAAGTGCAGTGGCTGTAACAAAGTCGTTAGTTATGGCTTTATTCCTTAAAATCCCATCTTATAAATCTGCATTAGTAGCCTCTCTTCCAATCTCAGCCTGAGGAGACATTGGTCGACGCCGCTGCTGTAGGGGGAGTTACAGCTTACCATCTTATGATGTAATGAATCTGTTTTGGTTTCCAAAACGGAAATAAAGCCTTGCCAGGATGATGTACGATTCCGTGCCTTACGTATTTTTTCTAACCTCTAATATTCTTGAAGCTGAGTCTAATACTCCAATTTACAATGAATGCTAAGATTAGCTAGTGAAAAAAGGCAGTATTTCCAATAATCTCATCCCTCTGTGGGTAGAATATCCCATTGAAACTCAGAGCTCCATGTATAATGAGAGCTTTTCTCCTTAAAAGACTCGGAGCTGGAGTGAAGTGTGAACTTTGTGTCTCTGTGCTGCTGCTCAACGGAAACCCCATTGCCTGACGGACGGACTGTTGTGTGCTCTCTATCCCTCTCAGTAGTGAGACTGCAACAACAGTGCCTTGCAAAATAATTCAGTCATTTTATTCTGAACTTTGTGCGGGTGTAGGTAAGGTTTTTAGTTAATGGTCAAAAGGCAAAAGGGGTGGGGCTAGATACTTCCACCCACACCATATAAAATTTGGAGATATCTCTAACATGTGTTTCAAATTGTTTTTGTTTTTTTTCCTTTTTTTGTAATTCTATGCTAATTGCTTATAAAAATAAAAAAGTAGAGGTGTCTGGTTACCTTGGGAGACAAAACATAGAAGTAGCCGGTCCCGTTAGCCCTGCAGATGAGTTTACACCTGTCCTTAGGTGAAATTCCAGAGTACTTTGGCACCCAGATTACTGAGTGGGCAACACGGTTACTACTGAAAGTCTGGCCGGAGGTCTCGCACTGTTCCTCTCGATAAGTCTTATCTACAAAGAGATATAGGAGTAAGGAAAACATCAAATAAGCTGATGTGTAACAGGGCTAAGATTGGACATGGATTCTATAGAAGGAATATTGTTCCATTATTGTTGCGAGCAAAGTACATGTTTTGTCAATAAAAAAAAAAAAAAAAAAACTTTTTATAAATGGGAAATGCAATTTAGAAATGAAACTTTAAAAAACGTCTTTGAGGCTTTGAAAGTAACTTTGTTTTTTGTTTTTGTCTTTACTTCCAAAATACCACTTTCATCTTACTGATGACATTCTCTCTACTCCTGGCTTTTCTCTAGATTGAGGAGCATAAAAATCTTCATGGACATTAGCAACAACATTCTGATTGATCAATGTGCCCCTAAAGACTGAGGATTTGTATTGGGCTTAAAGTGAAGGGAATGTGATCTTTCAAGCTCAGTTTGAAAAAAAGAAGTTTTTATAAAAGAAAGCATTCAATCTAAAAAAAAAAATACATAAAAAAATGAAAAGGAATGTTACTTTTAAAATTAAGAAGTTTTTCAAAGATTAATTTCTGGGTTGCAATTTTTTCAAATTTTTATTTTAAAAGCATGCTCTTTGCTTTCAACAATAATGGAATATTATTCACGCCATAGTTTCTATTGAAGTTTTCTCTTACTGATTCCCACCTGTTTTAGGGCAGGGGTTCAGGCTGCAGGAACGATATTTGACCCGAACTCCGTGGCAGTATTTGCCTCCGTTTGATGGAGCTGGGTTGTCACAGTCCCGTTTAGAGAGCTGAAGGCCGCCTCCACATGAGCGGGAACAGGAACCGAATGGACCCCACTTACCCCAACGTCCGTCCAACTGAAAGAACAATGCCCATTAATAATATTCGCTGATGGTAGTAAGGAGGTCTTTCCTTCAGTTGTACCTTCACAGTCTGGAGCTGTTTGTCAGAGCAGACCCCTCGGTCGCAGACCTGCCCATCACCACAACGTGTCCCATCTGCCCAGGGGAAATGCCGAGTCATACACACCAGATGACCGTTGGACTTCCCTGTACACCACAACCGGCTACATGGTGGCTGCAGGAAGGGGCATGGCTTAGAGCTTTCACCGAAGGCGAGCTCACACTGACGATTGAGGTCGTAGGAGGATCCGGGCTGCACATCTGGAAGAGCCAATGTTTTCTGAGGCTGATCGAGCAAACAATCCCCTGGAAGACAAATAGCTTAGCAGTAAGTAAGGGTATGTAAAACAGTTTTAGAAACATCAAATCAGCTAAGACAAAAGGTTACCAATTTTGGTAAATGTTCACAACATGGTTAGAAAACTGCATGGTGGAGTCAACATAATTAATTGAATGCAACATTTCTTGTCAACTTAATGTCAAACTTCCTCTTAAAAATATCTGTTATCTCAAACCTAGAAATTAAGATGTAAATTTTAAGAAGTAGGTTAAAATCTATGCATTACCAGCTTTTCTGTTTGCACAGTCACTGCTTATGGAATTAAATCAGTCTCATTGGAATCTGCCTTTTTTTTTTGTAAATCGTATTTTAAACACTGAATTTTTTTAACACTGAATTTTAAACACTACATTTTTTTACACATTGAATTCTTTACACTGAATTTTTATAAGGTCAAAATCTGCCTGCAAACAATTTAGCTGCATAAAATTCGGCTGCAAAAAATGTGCCTGCAAATGTGTTGAGCTAATTTCATTGTCTAGAAGTTGCTCGACTGCATCTAGTGTAGATTGCTCTGGCTTGATTTTACCAAAAGGTCAACACATTTGCAGGCAAATCTTTTGCAGGCAAATTTTTTGCAGCTGATTTTTGTCCAGCTGAATATTTTGCATGGGAATATTTTTGCAGGGGAATTTTTTTGCAGCACAATTTTCACCAGATAAAAATTTTTTGTAAGGAATTTTATGTATAAAAAAAACTAAGTGTTTAAAATTTGGAGGTAAAAAGAATCAGCTTTAAAATACGGTATTAAAAAAATTCAGTGTTTAAAATTTGGTGTACAAAAAAAGGCAGATTCCAATGAGACTGTTTTTCTTCCATAACTGCTGACATCACTGACTGAAGTTTGTCGGCCATTTTTGTTGTAAATACCAATTACAGCCAGCCCACTCCATCATTCTTCCACAGGTAGTTATTTATACAGAGTGTAGAATAGCTCTGCTCTGCAGATGCTACAATCAAACGGAGAATGCAGGCCATCCTCAGAACACCATAGAGACTTGGGTAGATCTCAGATCTCGTTTTGAGAGAAGGAAAAGATTAAAATTAGGTTTTCTGTGCTTTAGGATTAGACTGTTCTCCAAATACACGTTTGTCTCAGAGACGTTTAATCTTGCCCTTTTTAGTCTGTGTGTCAATCTGGGCCCTGACCAATCTTTTTTTATATAAGTATTCATTTATACCTGATTTAAGATACACTGATGTAAAAAACTGCATTTAAAAAAAATAATTGAACAATTAATTGTTCTTCGAGATCCCCCTTGTTACCTTGTTGCCTTGGGTCAGCCCTGTGGAAACGCCACTAGATGGGATTTCCCCATGCACACATTAATATCCATTTGCTTTATTTTATTTTTATTTTTGCTTTCTCATGGAAGGTCACTCTCAGCATGTCCACACAGAAATGCTTTAGACCCCCACTTACTACAGACATCCTGACTCCAACCTATTCAGAAACCCACCAGCCCACCCTTGTTGCGCGACATGCAGGAAAATTATCCCCAAAAATTGTTAGGTTTTCTTATACAATTAGAATTTAAAATTAAAGGCAACATGTAAATTGTGCAAAGATGTTACCACTACATAAAAAGGCACACACACAAAAAAAGGCTATACTTTAAGAAGTTGGTTTTAATCCCTTAGAAACTTCCACCACTGCTCTTTGTGGGTTGGCTTCTCATCCAAAAGCGGTTATAAACAGAGGGGAAAAACAGGGTCTCTAACTCGGAACTGTTGTTGTGTTTTTGTGGAGTTCTTAACAAATTATAAGGCTTAAGGGATAATAACCAGTTGGCAGTATATTTGTTTTATTCCATTTCACAGAATAATTGGCAGAAAACCCAGACAAATGAGCTGATAGCAAGCTGCTACATACAGTATACACACCCTCTACAGCCAGTAAACTGAACCGCTCCTCTTCCTTCCTAGTCTCCCTCTGAGGAGGAGTCATGGAAAACAATAGCTAAGGAGGCTGTGTGTAGATAGATGGTTACAAATTATTCTGGAAACAGCAGAGCATAAAGGCTCCCTCAAAATGATGGCAATAAGTCTGAATGAGAAAGCCCTCCAACCCAAGAAAATATTATCATGATTGTTAAGAATCCCCTTTTTTTCTCCTTCAATAGTTTGTATTCTGTTTTTTTCCTTCTTTAAAAATTGAGGTGGAGAAAAGCACAAGATGTTTGCCTATTTGTGGTGAACCTGCATGGGAAGCATAGGGCAGACCCATCTCTTCTCCAACCCACATTGGTGACTCTCCCAAGACCAAACCCTGTAATTTGGGACACATATGGGTGCAGTTTTAAAATAAAATTTAAGCGCTGCTCGAAGGCTAGGTCCTGTGGTCAGAATTGTTTGGCAAACAATCTGCATCCCAAATGTATGAATTTTTTTTTTTTTTCCTTTTTGCCAGTCTTTACTCTGAGCTCTGCAATAGAAGGTGTTTGGTTACTCATATTCCTCCTCATCATCACATGTAAGTGTAATTAGAAACTCTTGTCTCAATGAAAAGCATTATAATACTCCTGATACGTTTCTACTGAAATCTATAAACATTTTAAGATATTTCAAATTAACATCCTCACCATGTCCGCTGTCCAGGAACTCGGTGATGATGGCGGCGCTGCAAGGAGACCAGGGACTGGTTCGATTGATCTGGATAAGCGTGGGGGACATCATGTGGTTTTCCTGCAGCTTTCCAAACACATCTTCACAGGCCCTCACATTATCATGGGGCATGTTAAACACATGTCCTGCCGAACACAAACCAAGTATCTATTATATACCATATAATGTGCGTTTAAAAGACATTCATCCCTTTTGGAGGTTGTAAAATGTTGTCATGCTATGACTTAAAATTTGAAGGTATTTAATTACGGATTTTAAAAGGAGGAGCTGCACAAAGCAGAGCAACAAGGTGAAGTGGAAGCTGTGGATGTAAAGGATTGCTGCTCTTCTTAAATGTCAGCCAGTTTTTATTCCTATGCAGCTTTTAAGTGGTTTTCTTCTGCCCTCTACTTAGCTCAACCTATAGCCCCTGCTGCTTAGAAATATGAACAGCATGGGCCGTTTTAGAAAGGGGCCTGTGCCCCTGTACTGAAGACATAATGCTAAATGTAATTCCCATGACGATTTGTGCTTGTTATACACTTGTACACTTTTAGCAGTAGTTGTATTAAGTCAAGATCAGAGTTTTGATCTGCTGTATTTGGGGTCTCTAGAGACGAAAAATGGTGTTTGGTTTTGCTGAAATATCAAACCATTAGCTATTAAGTATGCTTTTAGTTTCATTCTTTTGCTCTGTGTTAAAACACTGGCCACTTCCTGATAGGGTGACCAGATTCCCTGCTTGGCGTGTGACAGTTTTCGTTCCCACAAATCGAAACAACGTCCCACATTTGAATTAGTCAAATAAAAAATAAAAAAGTCAAACGAAATGTTCACTTGTGCTTTACTTAAATGCGAATAACGCAGAGCAGCAGTCATTGTCACAGAGCTGAAGCCCCACATCATGACCAACCTGGTTTACGACGCTCTGAAACAGAACATGTCGAAGCTTTTAATCGAAGTCTGTCAGTGACCCCTAAAAATACATAATCACTTAATTATTTTGCTCTATATTCATCCATATATTTAGAGTAAAGCAATTATTATGAATTAATTCATTTTCATTTTGTTTTAGCTATTTAATGGGATTTTTAATCTTGGAATTGTGCATTTTACAATTTAATGGTATATCTAATATTCACTTCTGGGGGTGGATTTCCTCTGGAGTTAGCAGCAAAGTTGCATTTCTATTGGTCATCTTGGGTTAGCAACAAGATTTTTATTGGTCAGCGTGCGGGTTTGTTTTGGGCTTTAAGTTAAGAGAATGCCGTCTGTGATACGCGATTTGAAGAGAATGCAATTCATAAAACTTAATTTGAATAGCAGAATTTGTAAAAATTACATTTGAAAATCTGTATAATTTGTAAATACAATATGTTAAAAAAATATCTTGATTAAGAAGTTTTTTTTAGGCTTAGTTCTAAATCGCCTTTTTTAAATATATCTATTTACATTACATGTTCCTTGTTTGCAACAATACTGTAACAAAATTCACTCCATAAGCAGAGTAAATAGGAATTAATTCCAGTGCATCCTAATTTTTTATGTTTTTTATTTGAACAATAATATTTCTATATCAGTAATATTTTTTATTTAATAGCACAGTTATGCACCACTTCCTGCTTGTCAATCAAATAAAATTACAATAAATATAAGGATCACAATATAGTTCAAATTAAACAGGCATCAATACCTTTTGACAGATAAAAAGATCTTTCTGTCAGTACAATTGTGCTTCAGATGAAACCATGTCAGAACTGGTCATACCAAGCTCGTGAGCGGTGGTGAAGGCTGAGGGTAGGCCGTCGTCCTCAATAACGGAGCAGCTCCTCTTCGGGTCGCACATGGTGCCAACGTCTGCCATGCCAAGAGTGTCACAAGACGAGGCTCCGCAAAGATCCTGTATTAAAACAACAACACATCTGAGAAGGGCCGAGGGAAAACAGGAGCTGAGTGAGAGAATCCCTTGAAATAACAGATTTTTTCAGCCACGTAGACACAGTGGAAACGTGTTGTAAACAATCAGAACTTATTGAGCAATTTCATAAGTGGAACCCTGTGAGTTATTATTATTTTCCCTCCAACTGCACCAGAAAATGTGGCACAAGAAGCAATGCTGGAACGAAAAAGAAATACGGTGCTTGGCCCAGTTGAAAGAAATACGCTTCCAAAGAAACATCAACACGATTTGTCAGATGGTTGCTCTGCAATTAAGGTATAAACATTGGATTTTTAAAAAGGCTGTCCCTGTCACAATTTTAAAAAGTTGGAGCTTTAAAACTTGAATTCAATTGGAAGAAACAAAATAGGAATAAAAAAGCTATGGTTTACCAGAGGATACAGTTTATGAATCTGCTGCCAGTCATTATTAATCCATGTTTGAAACCAATCCGGACCAAATGCTTTGAGCCCAAACCATGAAAAGCTCACTAGATAGAAAAAAAGTATAGAGGACAGAATATCAAACTGATCTTGGAGCATAATGGCCGGTGCCATATTGGATTACTCACCGTTATTTAATACCCTTGAAAGATTTGCAGTGAAGTGGAACAAACCAAAGATGTAAAACATGAAAGTGCTTTTTTGGAGATACACAATAAAAGTATTCTTGCAGTTAAGCCCATAATTATTCATACCCCTAAGAAATTTAGGTTTGCAGTAACCGTTAAATTTATCAGCCTGTTTTGATTGATTGGAACTGATTTTAACTGCTTGGAGTAGCTCAGCCTGAAGCTGGGAGAGAAGATTACAGTTTATCAAAGATAAACTGTGAAATTCCCAGTTTCAAATTTCCTGTCAGGAACAAACCTCTTGTTTTAATTAAAATAATTAAAACTCTTAATTTGTGAGAGGTAGACAAACCCATCAAGTTTAAACTCAGAGTAACTGCAGCTGAGGTTGGCTTTGAAGTGATATCACACTGAAAGACATAACACATCTGAATACAATTGTATTACAACTCAAGAAAAGTGGTGCCGTTCAAAAAAGGGAGAATGTTAAATCATGATTCAGTCTGTTTTATGGCTGTTGTGTCAGGAGCTGTGCTCTACAGACTTTGGAACGACTCTGTACTGCTCAGCATTGCATTTCACCACCCAGTCTTTAAATCGTCCCACTGAGCAACAGTGTTTAGAGCACACTGTCTTCTATGAGGTAACCGTCCCAACCTAGAACATTTCCATGCCAGAGCTGTTTCCAGATGACCTATTTCTGCATCCTACAGTTTTAACCCCGATCGCAGACAGTGTCCATTTGGACCTGAACCCCATAATCACAGGACATTTTCAGTGCTGGGCATCGTAATGAACTGCACATCTGCCTGGCACCAAAAGGCCCCAAAAACACTAAACTGGATGCTGGAATGCCCAGAATATGGACAGTGTGACCACGTCCAGCCCTGAAAATCCTCTGACGAACTATATACGGCCATAAAAGTTGGTGCCAAGTGAAGACCTTGAGTGCTTTAGACAAATCATTCCAAGACTAAAATGCAGAAAACCACAGCTGTTGGCCAGTGCAGATTCAGTCCAGATGTTCTCATGTGCGTCGTTGACATGTGAAAATTTGGGGCAGTTAAGTAGAAGAATAAAAATAATCAAAGAAAACAGCATAACAGGAGAGAAGAGATTGCCATATTTGGGAGTTAGTTCTTTGCTATGACCTACTTCCTACAACTGGCGTAGATTTGTGCTTTTTTCTGGTACCGGGAAGGAAAAAAACAACTCAAACTAAAAATGTTTGACAGTTTCTAACTCCTTTCAACTTTTGTATTCTATTTGGACAATATTATAGGGTATGCTCATGAGGTACATCCATTATTTTGATAGTCTGCTCTTCGTGAGTGCTATAGATCTGGAGAAGGCCTATTTTGTTGGGGTACTACAGGATTTAGGGGCTCTACAATGTTTTAAAAGCTAACTGGTTATTGTAAACCCAAAGCAACAGCTGTGTTTGCATTCTTGGCAAAAAGTCAAGTTTGATCCCAGTGTGGATTGGATTCCATCACGGCTGTTTCTGCTTGTGGTTGGAATATACCGGGTCTCATAGTTGTAGAGAGATGATAATCTGGTTTGTCTTTTGCAGATGATGTGACTGTTTAAATCTTTCAGTAATGACCTTTAGAACCCACTGGAATGTTTTTCAGGTAGCTGTGAAACAGCTGGGATATCAAATCAGTCATTTTAAGTCTAAAGCCATGATTGTTTTGTCTGGGTAGGTGGCATATCTCTGCCTCAAAGGGAAGAGTTCAAATTTGTTGTACAGAACTAATGCTGGAAATGTGGGAAGAGTGTGAGAGGGATGAACGGGTTTTATGAGTAATGATACACATATTTCTCTAATCTGTTGTGGTAGAGAAAGAGCCTTTTTTTTCCGTAAACATCAGCGGAAATGGTTACTTGCCTCTAATAGAGAAGCAACGTGGGAGCCTCCCTTTAGAGGTTCCCTAGTCCTAATGGGAGGAGTCTCTAAGGCAGACCCAGAACGCACTGAAGGACTGTATTTTGCTCTCTGGCCTGGGAATACATTTTGGGTCTACTAGAATGAATTAGAAAATGTTGACATAAAGAGGGATACCCTAATGATTGGATCTAGGAAAAGGAAAGGATATTGCACAAGTGAGCGAATCATAATGTGTTTTTTGTGGGACCAACAGTACCAAAGCGTTCATTCCATACAAACAGAGACAAAGAGATTTTTTATCTAAAAAGTTAATACATTCGATTACCTATAGCACAGTCTCTCTCCTAGGGGAAAATTCACAGATTCATGGTCAGATTAAATTTTTTGGCTGCTTTTCTACGGCAATCAGTCTGTGTAGCATAATGAGATGAGTAATTTTGCAACATTACTTTTAACAGCAATCATGCCATTAGTGGGATTTAAGCACAAACCACAGTTGCCTCTGGACAACATCAAGTTGGTCTTCATAAAACCTACGAAATTACTCTGTGTGCTGGTTAACAGCACTCAAAGGATCAGACTGAAACACCATTTAAATATTATGCAAAACTATAAAATATATACTGACTACATTTTACAGTCAACTTGCCATGAACCGACAGAAGATGCTCCAATTGTTGAACCTTTGCTCAGAGCTCTTTTGTAAGCAGAGAGGCAATGAAACAGTAATTGTAGGCTATCCAAAAGTAAAACTCTGATGAAGGAAGGAAGGAAGGAAGGAAGGAAGGAAGGAAGGAAGGAAGGAAGGAAGGAAGGAAGGAAGGAAGGAAGGAAGGAAGGAAGGAAGGAAGGAAGGAAGGAAGGAAGGAAGGAAGGAAGGAAGGGATTTTAACCGTCAATGTTCCGCTGCAGTAGAAGTATTCATGCCGATCTAACTTTTTTGCATTGTGTCATCTTAAGACCACAAACATCAGTGCTTTTGGTTGGGATTTTTTTGACAGACCAACACTGAGAAGAAGATAACTATGAAAAGGATGAGAAATAATACAGCTGTGAATCCAAGCTCTGGACAAGCTGGTGTGAGGAAGATGGCTGGTGTCATCCTGGAAACCAGAGGAGTCCTGGAAAGAAACCTCTAAGAAACCAGAGCTACAAGGGAATGATCATGGGTGGAGCTAGAGGTTGGGCAAGAGGTGGTCATGCCCCCCTCCCTGTAGTCAATCATTGGCCATCCGAGTTGCCACCCCTACCAAGGGACTTGTTATTCGTATACAGACGTAATTCACCACCTCCAGAATATCTTGTTCCTCTCTAAACCAGAGGGTGAAAACAGTGATACTGTTAAGGGCAAAATTTTTATTAATTTAAGATTTTAGTTTTTAGTATATTAACCATAAAATGACAGAAAAAACACAGTAGTTGATTCTTTACATCAATATACTAACATTGAATATGACTAGCATGCCCTTTTAGAACTATTTTTGGGTTTTATTGGGAGAAGGCAAAAGCTGCATCTGATGTAATAAAAGATAAATAACAACTAAACCCATTTAATGTATGTTTCAAGGTCTTTATGTATCAATATTGTGCAGAGCCTTATTTTATTAAAGTTATAGTTGAAAATGTTTCCCTGAAATGCAGGATAGAAATGTCAAAGTCAGTATTTGGTAACTGTCCAAGCGCACGACATTCCTGCTCTTCCTTTCCATCTCATGAACACTAAAAGTGATCAAGCTCAGTTAAAGCACATGTGGTGATCTTCTTTCCGCTTGTATCTACTACCTTTGATTTAAAGGGCATGAATGTGAAAATATGGGCATATGTTTTCTAGCAAGAGCTTTAGGAAAATCAAGTATGTCTTTAGTGCTTTATTTAGATTATATGAGTGTTGTGCTCATGTGCTTAGCTTGTGACTTTATACAAGAATAATACAAATTATGTCATGATTAGGGATGTCCCAATACAACATTGTTATTGGTCCAATATCGGGTAAAAAGCCAAAATTGGATTATATCGGCCTGAATCTAAAATCTCAGATATTGGCATGCTGAGTTTGATTTGATTTGAATTTTAATGCAACCCGTTGGTTAATAACAAACAGGTCAGTTGTCATCTGTTTGAGTAATATTTAATTAAACCTCTTTCTAAACTTCCACACTGCAGACTAAGTATTAAAAGTAAATATGATTCATGCTAGTATTGTTTCAGGTCAATATCAGTACTGGTCAGTTCTCACAGGTGCAAAATTGGTATCGTATAATTTTAAAGAGGTTTAAATTGTTGTGGTTGTAATTTAAGGTAATATGCAAATGTTTAAGGTGCATAAATACTTCTAAAACTGCATTGCTGTAAGTATTTTGATGGAAAACAAGAATAGAAATCTCAACGTACTATTTCTATGCTTAAATAGAAAAAAAAGAACATGTTAAAAGAAAGAGTTTCTGATGATATTTGACAATGTTTCATAAAACCAGCCTACTAATAGATTCCATTTAATCACATCTTTCAGAATTAAGAACTTGCTGAGCTGCCATTTGGTCTTTACACTCTACAAAAAAGGTACAAAAGCATCTGTCTTTTCTCTACCAAAATCTTTTTATTTTATTTTATTTTTTTCATATGAGGTCAAACATTCTAATCTGATTTTAATCATGTTTTTTATACTGCAGATCTTGGACTTTGAACAGCTCAAAAACATTAATTTAACAAAAATTAAGCAAAAATTAAACAAAATTAAAACAAAAATCTCTTGTAAATGCTGATTTTTTTTTCTTGTTGCAGTTTTTGAAAGCTCCAGCTAAAGCAGTGAGATCACTGGAGGTATGCTAACAGAAAAAGTGCTGTAATCCCTTGTTGCATGTTTTCCTGTGTTATACACCAAACTGGATCCACATGACTCATGGCTGGCCGGCTCTGAGTTTATTAGGGTCATCTAAACTGGCTGTGGAGCTTGTAACGTCATCCATGGATCCAAATCCAGGTTACTTTTAATAATACAGAATACGACTTTTTTTTTGCAGTTCTTTTCTAGAGATTTAGAGTGTGATGTATGGGCTCAGCAGGTGGAGCCAACACAGAGAAGATAATGGTTTCAAGATCAACTTAATGTCAAACTCAGAGGTCCAACTGTGCAGGCAGGGCAGGGCCGCTTGTTTTCTGACTTGGAGGAAGCAGATGGGGCAAAGACGTGGTGGGATGTGACTTTCATCATTCCCATAACCAATGTAGTCCTCCCTTCAGGGGCCGGTTTAATGAGGTGCAGGCAGGATGGTGGATAGGGCTGGAAAGCCCCCAACTGGAGGAGAGTGGGAAGGGCTGAAAGAAACAAGATGCTTCCAACAAGTGCATCTCTGAGGACTCCAAAGTTTAACATTCGACAAAGTTTGCCAAAACTGACAGGGCCCTGCTAGTCTGATGTTACATTTGACCTTTTATTTTGAAGGAAGTCGCTGCTCCATTGGCCTTGTGATACATCAGATTAAAACATCATTCTCACTTCCTAAACAGAGGTTTTATCGTAGATTGAAATAGGCGGTTGTTTAAGGTTTAGATTACTCCCTAGCTATTGTTTGCTCTATGAGGTTTACACCAGTGTTAGAGATGGGATGTGGAGAAGCACAATGATGGAAATGTAATTCAGAGCAGATGTTAAGTTTGACAGTAATCCTACCAAACAGATTTTCTAGAGATTTTTAATCGATGAGAGAAAGTGTGCCATGCCCTGGAAAAGTATCCATAGCCACAAAATCTAAGAGCTTTTATGAGGATTTTATTCTACTGACCGGCATGTTATAGTTTGGATGACTTTTAAAGATAGTTGTGTTGCACTTTGTGCACCATATAACATAAGTTTTTTTATATATAGAAAAGTTTGAACCCTCTAAAGTTGTCCTTTTCATTTAAACGTGGACTTGTTTAATTGTCCCCATAAATTCCAAGAAAATGCACTAAGGTTTGTGGTTAATGAGATAGAGAAAGATATAGGAGGTGTGAATACTTTTCCTCTTGTTGCTCTCTTACCTGTCTTGTAAAGAGAATAGCTGTGTCCCAGTAGTCTGGGTGCTTGTCGTTGTGTTTGTTCATCTTTTTCTGCCAGGTGCAAAAGTTACGCAGCGTCATGGCTGCGTTCCCGGACACCTTTGGACCTTTGTCCTCCTCAGATATGATCACGATCTTCACCACTGTGATGCTGATGGAGTTGAGGATGCTGGGGTGCCTGTACAGCTTAGCTGCGACCGACATCAGCGTTAAGAGGTAGTGCTTTAGGTCATCTCCGTGGAAGTTCACCATCGACTCGTCTGCAGCCAGCAGCGTCTCCACGTACCGGGGGACCGAGGCGAACCTTTTAGCCCTCCCCATCCTCTTCAGTAATGTTTCGTTTAAGCTGCTGAGCTCCGTCATATGCCTATACTTCAGCAGGGATCGCGCATCTGCGGGGCTTAGGTCGCTCTCCACGGCACACCTGGAGGTGGAATTCTGCTTCAGATCCTGGATGCGTCTGCGTCGGACGACGTGCGCCTGCTGCGCGCTCTGGGTGCCATTACGCACCGGGCTGATGAAATATTCCCAGCCCTGGAAGCCAAATGCACCATTTAAACCCTTGCAGAGACTCAGTGCAGCATAGGAATCTCTATCATCGTTCACATATCCAGAGTAGAAACACCGTCTTAAGTCCCTGTGGACACCAGGGTCTTGGATCCAAAACGCGCCTTGGACAGAGATGGAGGGAGCGATGAATTCGGAATCTTGCTGTAAATTGAGCACAAATTCTTGCTGAAAAGCTGCTAATTTTATAAAACGCTTTTGAAAACTGATATCCACCCCGTTGTCAAACTCATCACTATGGTCATCCAGTTTAATCGGAAAGCAAATCTCACTTTCCATACAGCGAATAAATTCAACAAAGTAGAGGAGGAAAACTGTCCTGACAAACATGTCGATGTTTGCATCAAGTAAAGAACGAAAAGACCAATAAGAAAAATATTTATAGGCTATATGGACTGAGGTGGGTAGAAAATCTCAGTGGAAGCAGAACAGGACACAGATGAGGAACATGATCCGCTAAAACAGCACAGGTCCTATGAGCTGACTCAGAGTAAACTCCTCCCGTCCATGACCCATTTTCATGTTCCACCTGTGAGCGCTGAGGCGACCGCTGCTTTCTGAGGATTCAACTACTCCGTTATTTTAAAATCTGGAAAGCCAGTCCTTCACTGGGGGCAGTCTCTCATTGGATGCATAGTTCAGATGAGGACTTCCACCTCTTCTCCGATTCAGACTCACAACTACAACTGAATCCTACTGCATCCTTGGAATGAACAAGACTGATTTGGATAGGGGGTGTTTTTTTCCCCCAGCTTGATTTGCACAGTTAGTTTGGGATGCCTTGGAATTACATTTGTGTTAAAATAAAAGAACTAATTGGACAAACTTGGTTCGGATGGGAAAATTAGTTAAAGAAATGAATGCAAAAAAAAAAGGCTGAAACTATTGTTTAGTAATCTGCCTCTGCAGGTATTTGCCAGGCGGTATAAACTGTATGAAATGCGAGGATGAAGAAGCGCATGTTGTTCATGTGAAGCACTTGCGCCCCTTGGCGGATAATTGAAGGAACAGATACTTCCTTTGGCTAAAAATGAGGATGGGTGGAAGCTGGGACACCAGTAAGCCTCCTGTACTTTACAAATAATGAACAACACAGAATAAATTAAAAACGTGTTACTTATTATCAGTCAATTACCTATTTTATAACCCAAGGCTATAATTTACCAAACCTTTTATCTACTTCGTTCCCATGATGAATTAATCAAATACTGCATCTCTCACAGCAACAGCTGATATTAACAATGATAACACAAATTTAAATAATTATGCTGTCTGTTTAAAACAAAATATACACATATATGTGTATACACATGTAGTGAATTTTATTAAAAATATAATATTCTGCTTTTTGTATCTCTGCTTCTGTCTCCTTGAACCCCAGTCGGACTCAGCAGATGGCACTGAGCCTGGTTCTGCTGGAGGTTTCTTCCTGTTAAAAGGGAGTTTTTCCTCTCCACTGTCGCTACAAGCATGCTTAGTGTGAGGGATTGCCTTCGAGTCAATGAGTCGATGCAATCAACTGGTTTTCCTTACAGTAGATAGAAAACTTTGAATCAATTTGACAGTATGATCTGGTGAACTATAAAGTGCCTTGAGATGACTTGTGTTGTGAATTGGCGCTATATAAATGAACTGAATTGAATTGAATTATTCCCTTATTTAATTGAATTACTGAAAACAGAAATCAACCTTGGCATAATATTTTAACTATATGATCATTACCCCTGTTTCACATCCATCTTATACATACTTCACCTCTCAGCTGAAGCATCCTTTTTAAACTTTTTCTAAAGTATATAGAGGTTTATTTCAGGTCACCACCAAAAGTTTACGTTATTTCACTCATTGTATAAAATACATAGAAAGTCTCAGTTTACTTCTCTATAGCTTACCTGTCTGAGGAAAGTTTGCCCAACTGTCAGCTCTTAGATTTCTATTTCTAGTGTTTGTTTCTTTATGTATATTTTGGTTCATTGTCACGTTGCAGGATCTGGCTTCAGCTTTAATTTTTCACAGGTAATTTTACAGGTGACTTCTACCTAAATGAAGATGGGCCTGGTCTTATTTCATCTTATTTTTCTGAGATTGGCACCTGATTTCATAGCAAAGCCACTAACCTATATTTTTTATCTTTCAATTGAATCCACAGTTCAAATGGGATTCAACTGAAAGATGAGTGTGTGTCCTGTTTTGATCTAATTGTGTGAAACACATAAGAGCATCAAGTAATGCTTTTTGCGTTCCAGTGATCGGTATTACTTTCTGTCCCAAAATGTCTGCTCCGAATTTGGAAGAAAGGCTTTTGCCTATCAAGCCACAACATTGAGCGTTTGGCAGGTTTGAAGCTTGATGTCTACAAGTAATTTAATACTAGATTGACAGTCTTAGATATTACTTCTTAGAATTGTTGTTTTAATTCTGTCTGATGTCACTTTTTACAGATAGTTTTAATTTTTTCAAAAAGTTTTATGTGGATGTTTTTTACATATAATGTTTTACATGCAGTGTTTTTTTAACTTTTCTTTAAGAGATATCTTTCAAAAAAATATGTTGTTCATCTTAATGGTGATTTTCTTGTTTAAATTAACTTTTAATAGTGAATAATAATAAGATGAACTGGTCAGTCTTCCACCTCCTTGCTTCATGGCTGTATGAGAGCATTTTCCTGTACTGCTGTGTTTGGTTTATAGAAACTATGTGCGACATCTTGTGGTGAACAGCGACACTGCACCCTTTCTTTTAGAACAGCACAACTAATCACTTCATCCTGTCATTCTGAGACCACCACAGGAGTTATTTCTGAATTATCAGTAGTATCATTATGGTCCTACATCAAACCATAGGGTTTCCTAGCAGTCCTGTCGCTTTTTTTGTTTGTTTTTTCAAAACGGTGATGCTGAAAACAGTGTCCCACTTTTTTTATATATTCGTCTTGCAAACATGTCTTATAATGGCCAAGAACTCCGGAAATTTGGGCGTGATAGAACAAATTATGGCAGGGTAAACCTAATAGAATATGAGCATTCTTTTATGAATCTATACCACTGGCTTAACTTTCTGAAGGACTGGTGTGGACATGTCCCCACCAACTTTGGGCATGGAGGGGACAGTCCCCACCAATAATCTATGCTTGTCTCCCCCTAATTTACTATAGCCAACAGTTACTGGGGTTAGGTGCAACTAACTGTGTTCAGAGCATTTTCAGTCCGTTGGGCTTCTCAGAGGACCATTACAAATTAAAATTAACACATATCTGTTGTTTTCTTATTGTACAAAGAATCAGACCGCAGAGCTTCTAGATATCTTGGAAATAAGTTTCTGTGGCATCATTATATTGGTAGAAAGGTTCATAAATCTGTTTTTAAGCAGAGCAGAGACACAATTAGGCACAACTGCAGATTTAAAGGTGAAACACATTTACTGGGATATGAAACATGCACTAAATATATCTCCAAGTTTACAAGAAAAAATATGCCGTGCTATAATAAAATTCAACATCTTTTGTAGTTCAGCAAGACTCAGAAATAGCTGTGCCAGCCAACCCAGAGAGGGCCAGATTCACAGGAAAGAGACTTAAAATATAAGAAACCTGCAAGAATTAAAGCACAAATAATAAAAATCAGTGTATAAATGATTTTTGAAATATAAGGTTCAATACATAGACCTGGGCTGTCGATGACATATGGGACAGCCCATTTTGCTGCTTGTGAAGGAGGAAAATCACTGATGGAGCTTAAAGGGAAGCCATGCAGGGATGGATGGATGGATGGAATGGAAGTTGTGTTTATACTAGAGATGCATGATATATTGATGTTGGCATCACTATCGGCTGTTATTCATAATTTTTTATACATTAATGTTTTTGAGACCTTTATGAATAATGCACTAAAGGCAGGCATCTGTCTATAGCTAAATATCAGTGTATTGTGGTACTCTTGTGTTCTCAACAACAGGAAATCATTCAATAAATATACATATAAATGTACATATAAACCCTATTGAAAGCGTTCGGGTTGAGTAGCTGTAGGTATATCAGCCCCAACCCTTAGAGCACCCTTACCAACTTTTACCTCAAAGTTACACCCTTGATCTATACAATGGTTATAGGTTCCAACGTATTTTGCTATCGGTCCTGATGCATTTTTAATGCATTTTGAATTACTGATTCTGCAAATATACATTTATTTAAGAATGTAATGTAAATAAAATAAAAAAAAATAAAAGTTATAAATGCAAAGAAGCAGTAGTTTGGCAAATATTAGCCAAAATATGCGTTCATATTACTTCTACTTTGCTTTTATAACCAAAAAACAAGAACATATGTCTGTATTAATATTAATATAGGTGCAACAAAGCCCACTAGAGTCTCATTTATTATGAGTGGTTGCAGTCTCTACCACAAGGCGCTTTGTTTTCCTTACGAGCCCTGTTGATAGGGACGCAGCGACTGTTGCTAGGCTCAGGGTCCATTGTCCAATTTTCTGTCCAAACAAATGCCAGATTGAAAATTCTTATTTTGTTGTAAAATTATGTAAAAGGAGCTGTCTATTTATTGATATCCTGGCGTTAACAGGGCACATTGATGAATTCTAAATAGCCTGAATTACATATAAAACTTAACGTTTTTTGAATTATCTTTTTTACAGTAGGCAGTTAGGTCGGTCAGCTTCATCCTGTGCATCTGCAGTTACTCAAAAAATAGTTTGAGTTTTGCAAACCTTCAATTTTAACAAAAACCTACAGTATATAAGTATTTTTTCTCACAAAAATTAATTTTACTGTAATTTGCTTGTATTTACTCCTAGCATTTATTGCTAACTTGTCGAGTTTCCGTTCGTTTGGGTTGAAACGGTTAGAGATGGATTCCTATCACGTTCTGAACCTGGTGGGTGAAGGCTCCTACGGCAGAGTTTATAAAGGGAGGAAAAAGTTCACCGGTCAGGTAAAAGGTTTCTTTATCAAACCGTTTTTATTGGTCATGGTTGCTTGGCTCACCGGTGGTATCGGTTTCTCTCAGGTTGTGGCTCTAAAGTTTATGCCGAAAGTGGGTCGGTCTGAGAAGGAGCTGCGAAATCTGAAGAGGGAAATAGAAATAATGAGAGACCTCCAGCATCCAAATATAGTCCAGCTCTTTGACAGTTTTGAGACTGAAACAGAGGTATTATTTGCTTTTTTGTCTGTTTGTTTCTTTCTTTTTTTCAGAAAAAAAAAATCATGTTTCTATTTCGAAGAAGTTCAGTGTATCTGGTTTACTAATGCTTAATCAGAAATGCCATGTTTCTCTGCAACAGGTTGTGGTTGTAACTGAATATGCAGAAGGCCAATTGTTCCAGATTTTGGAGGATGATGGAAACTTACCAGAGAAGCAGGTATTCAGTAACAATTTAAAGATTATGTGTTTATAGAGGGTTGGTGGGGCTCTGAAACTCAGAGGGATTTTAACTGAGGATTTTCAAAGAAATAATTTAATAATTGATTAATAATTGAATTATTAATAATTCCTGTTAAGTTAAACATTATATTCAATATTGAATAATCAAATCATAAAACCAGACCTTTTATTAGAGATCAATTCTTAATTTATAGAATTCAGGCAATGGGTTTAATAGTTATTTTTACATGGATACCGTCACATATAGGAGTAAAAGGAAATGAGTTGGCAGATAAATATG